AGCTTGTAATGCTTGTAGAAGTTCCTGGAAGTTATATTATAGAAGCTTCTATAGCGAAACCATGCCGATGGAATCGTCGAAGAAAAATTTCCAGCCATACAACTGAATATCGTCTTCTTCTCCGTAAACAGGAAATAAAGCATACTCATATACCTTGGGTCTCATTCAACTGTTGGACACAAACATATATAAATAGAGGAAATTAGAATGTTTGAATCTATAACTTTTCTTTCTCTCAAAACAGCTGTAATCAACAACATTGTTTTTAAGCTTATCAAATCGATCCCCCTTCCTTTCCTTTTCCGTGTCTAATTAGCCCGCAGCCAGATAGAAAATCCCAACCCAATGCTTTATAATTACTGAGTTCCCAGCTAGCTCAATATAATATTCGGTAGGGAATAAGCTGTATAGTATATTGTAATATTGGCGCCAAAGCCAAAATACCTCGGTTTTGCTATACTTCAATGAAACAGAGTCTTCGTGATTAAGCTCTTATAATTATTGAGAAAGAATATACCAGCTCTGAATATCAAAAGTGATATAAATAGATACAATAGAACAGATGAAAGCTGTATGCCTGTATACCAAAAATATAAAACAGATAATGCTGCTAGTATATATCAGAGTCAATATATCATTTTGAATAACTATATAAGTATCTTAGCAGCAGCTTGAAACTCAGAATTTTTCATAGAGTCTTAAAGAGTTCTGAAAGTTAGCTTGCTTATATATAAGACCAGAGGTAGCTGCTAGAGAGATTAAAGTTCAGATCTAGCTGTTGCAAAGCTTGCACTAAAATTAGAATGCCAGCTGGCCAGCTGAAGCTGGCTGCAGATAGGGCTAATTCCAGATGAATGTTAAAAATAGCACCTGCAGCATCCCCAGCGATTTCAGCTGAGACTTCTGCTGGCTACCAAGCAGAGCTGCTATGCTTCTCCGAAGACATTATTTTGATGTATTTTAAGTGGGGAACAAGCAATACCTTAGATTAGATGAATTCTAGCAATAATGTTATTCATATTCACTAATGCTTATAATATAAGCAACAAACTAGCTAGAACTATATATAGAAGAATAGATTGATCAATGTGGAAATTGAGTGAATAGCTGTTGCAATGCAAGCATTTACTATTTAGGATATTAAAACAGTTGCCTATCGAAACTTTATCTTATCGATACTTCAGCATTTATTCGATGCTGAGCATCGTGGTACTCATGCTTCTGGAATTCCGAATCCAAGTCTAACGATTCCGCTTGTATTTCGAAACCTTAATCTTTCCGAGAATTGCAGGTAATCCCAACCCTTTGACTAGCGTTAACGTTTGGAAATTACTTGCACAGTTTGTAGTTATGCATTCTCGAGCGTAAGAGGTTGTAAATCCATCTTGAACTGCTGCTGCTCAATCCAATCTAGTAGAATTTCGTGCTATCGTTGAGTTTGTTCAGAATACTTCAAGCGTTTCCGAATAGCGATTCCATTCTAATATATGCTTCTGAATTCTTTAATATCTATATTATCAGCTTTCTTCTGAGTAATATCCAAGTCTTCTCTGAACTTATTTTGCTTTTTTATTAATTCTTTATAATATCGAAGATAATAGTGAACCAGAACTAGGGCGCCGTCGCCCTCGAAAGAAAGAGGGACAAACAGCTGCCGAAGCAATGGGCAAGGGCTCATGCAACCCAAGCGTGCCTGTACAGATGAGGACAGCAAACTAAGGCCACACGGGCGCAAGAACAGGGTGAAAAACCTGTCTTAGACCTGTCCAAAGGGTTCAAAATTGAAAAGAAGAGAAAGGATGCTTGATTGTTGCTTATAGCTAAAGAATTTGAAAAGTGGGTGGTATCCTTTATATGTATGAGGACCCTTGACCCACTGTACTCCACGTCCCACGGACTACCACCCTGGCCACCACAACAGTCCTCCCCCAGCAACTTTCTTCCAAAGTTGCGACAAGTCCAATGGTGTGCCAGGTCTGATCAGAGGGAGATGAAGTAAAGAAATAAAGAATTCATCGCAAACTGCCAAAGGAAACACTGCAAACCGAACCATCCCCCCAATTCAACCCTCATGCCTCTCCCTATCGCTTGAGCCATCATTCAAATCAACGCAGGAGTATCAGTATCCATCTTCAGTCCATTCGTAACACGGGCACGACCTGGACAGATCCTAACGCTGACCTCTTCTCTGTCCCCGTCTGCTCTCAAACTCTGCTCGAGCAGCAGCAGCAGCAGCAGTTCTCTCCTGATTCTGCATTCTCACTCGACGGATCCTTTCGCAGTCCGCTTCATACATATCCATCTTGATAGCATGATCGAACCCTGTCCAGTTCGGAGAACCCACTGAGGGCCTGATAGGGTTAAGGCTATGAAGCTCATTCCATAGAGGCACACGAGGCTCCTGAGGTCTATCAGGAAAACTGGGAGGCATGATGTTGCTGCTTCTCAGTCTCTGATGCAATGGGGCTTCAGTAGCACGTCCAGGCCTAGCTGTTTGCTGCATTGACAGGTTGATTGTCGGTCCTGGACCGACAGGCGTTCCTCGAGGTGAAGAGGAGTAAGGATCGGTAGGAGTTCCGGATGGGAGTCGACTTAACTCTGAGCTGATACTACGTCCTCTTGATGAACGCAAGATCGGGCCAGCTGGAGCTGTGCTCTCTCGGGACTGTTGTCTTGACGGAACTAGGCTGGGTGCCCTACTCGCTCTGAAATCCTCCAGGGCAAAGGCTGATATGTCCCTCCTCATCCTGTCGAGATCGCCTTCAATAGACAGTTCAGGCAAGTCTGCAACTCCTCCCACGAAGAAGGTAACATTCGGCTTGTAGGTTATGTTCAGTACCCTACCGGCTTCCACTTGTACAGCCTTGTATTCTTGAAGTGAGGCACTCCTTCTTAATGGCCGATCAGGATATCGCGTATAGTTGCTGTGTCCCAGCTCATAGGAGAAGGCCTGGCAGTGCAGGCTTGTCATAGCCATCTCCGCACCCCATTCTTCCACATTTTGTGCAGTTTCTCTATGGTTAAGATAGAGAGCTTGCCTCCAGTCTGGACAGCCACTAGGTGATTGGTAGAAATCAGTAGATTCCAGGATTCGAAGGCGAAACAGTTCGATTGCATAGAGCAGAGCTGCATTCGAATCGTTATCCAGCGGCGTAGTTGGAACATTCTCGAAATCCCAATCCCGATTGGCTCCAGCACTCCTGAGCTGACTGTTCAGATAGTGCTTGCTTGCATGAGCCAGTAGGGTATCGCCGGATTTGTGCACAGCGATGTAAAATCCTTTTTCAGTCTTCATATCGAGCCAAGACAGAGCACAAGCTGAAGTCGCTGTATTGACTGAGAGGAGAACCCATAGGCGCCTCTGTCTAGCCTCATGTCTGGGCAGATCCTGTTTATTGAGAATATCAGGAGAGCCAGGTGGATGGGCTATCGATGGAACACGAAGGCATCCCATCAAGAATACGTCTTGTTGATTGTACTGAGCGTAATGACGAAAGGCAGCCACAGCGTGCTGCGGACCAATATCTTGAGGGACTCCTGCATCTAAGAATCCGACCAGATCATAGATATCGAGAAGGTGTCTGGAAGGATTGGCGCCGAAGATCGTGGGCAAGTACGACTTGCGAGGGGGTAACCCTGGGAAGTACTTCTCGACGAGTCCTGCTGCCAGATGATTTTCTTCGTCCCTTAGACTGAAGTAGGGCGGACGACTCTTGATCACTTCAGTTGGGTACGGCGCTCTGGGAAAGACAGTCCGAAAGCAGTAGGCCTTGGTCATCCAGTCCCCTCGGCTATGCTGGACAGGTGGGAACAGAGAGTACTTGAATTCGGCCATTGCTGCTGAGTCGAAAGGAAAGTGAAAAGGGAAGAACGGCTTTGTCGGAAGGTGGGCAATTGCGAGAGGGGTTTGCGAAGGTGTAAAGTCAAGGGACCGAGAGGGTGTTGACTGAGGAAGAAAGGTAGAGAAGAATGCAGCTTCAGCCTGAGGATCTGTCGAGGAAGGTGATGTTATGTAAGCAGAGCAGTTGACAATTTGCTCTGATGTCGGTGTACAGGTCTGGGGCAGCGTTGACGAGGAAGAAAAAGGGTGTGTGTATGCTCGAGAAAGGTGGTTGTGAAGAGGTTGAAGGAGGAAGAAGAATAGCTGGCTGCGAGTGTGGATGGAATGGCCAATTTATCTTGTCTGGCAACTACCCAAGTGATTCACTGCTTTCCGTTTGTCACAAGGCAAACAGCTTCACCCTTGGCCAGGTAGGAGCTGTCCAGCAACAGACTGGATAGAAGGTGTGGTGACTCAGTTGGGTGTGTTTGTTACCCATTGCCATCTCATCAATCTTCAGCAAACTGTTCAACAATCTCTCCCTCAGTTCACCTTGCCTTTCAATTCATCCTTCGCACAACAACTTCTCCTTCTGTCAACCTTCCCTTGCCCAGCTCTGCAACACACTCAAGATGTCTCGAATCGTCACCGACGCTGTTTTCTCTTCGCGGGTAAACACCGCTCCTCAAGAGGTTGACAAGGTCTGGATCTGGTTTTCTTCTTCGGTTCCTCCTCCTCAGGGCAGCAACTACCACTGGCTCAAGGATGTCCATGTCGACTTCCTTGACGTTACAGACTTCAACACCATCAAGGGAGACCTTGGCTTGACATACGCTTCTTGGGATATCCAAGGCGATATCATGTTTTGGAACAACTCACTGCCAAGCCCTGGCTTTGCTGCTCATTTCGCAAGGCTGGACAATAAGGATTCTATCAAACTGAATCCTATTGTGGTGTGTAAAGCCGGTTGGAAGCCCTTTGGCGAGTACCTTACCCGCATCTTCTCCCGCCCTGAGCGAGTAAATTCCCTCCTCGTTCAGTCCTATGGTCGGCGTAACCTAGTCCCTTGCGATTGCTGCTCCCGTCGGTACGCCACTGCTTGCATGCCTGTACAGGGGCAGCAGGTCAACGTCAACTGGCCTTTCCTAGAATGCATCTCAATGGAGGGCTTCTTCAATGGGAAGTGCGGCAACTGCATTTATCATGCAGAGTCTGGGTGTGACTACACCAAAGACTTCCCTTGTGTCAAAGAGCGCAGTGCACGAGTAAGATTCCCATTCCGATGTCTTTGACCAGGTTTGAGCACACACTAATCATTGTCCTTCTCGCAGCGTCGGCACTCGTTTTACCAACTCGGCCCTCGACGTGTAATCGAGATAGATTCTCAAGTCAACTCCAATGCCGACGTCGAGCGTATTGTCAAAGCTCAATACAAGCTCATGCGGGATAAAGGTATTGCGCATAACCAGATCAAATGGGTTCCTCTTGTGCCAAGGAAGTGGTACCCACAGGATACTGTGAGTCTCATAATCAACTATGATTGCGATGCTCAAGAAGACCATTGCTAACTTTATCTGCACAGATCGGCAAGAAGAGTACTGCTCCTTCTGCTCCCAAGAAGGGAGTATCTGGGTCTGGGCAGGCAGCTCCACGACCTGTATCTCGTGGCAAGGATAAAGGCAAGGGCAAGGCTGTAGTAGGATCTCGTGTCGAGAAACGAGCCAAGTCCGTTCAATCTCAAGGTTCTTCCTCTGTTTTTGACGACGATTCTTCAGCGGATGATACGGATGACATGGATCTGGACAGGACGAGGAGAGAGCCATCGGATGACATTTACGGGTATTCCGGTGATGAGGATGATGTGTAAAAGTAAGGGGTTTCCATAGGTTGCAGTGTTTCTTCGGCGCTCTGCATTTTTCATGCGTTGCATTCCAATATACTGCAATTTTTGAACAACGAAAATGGCCTCAGAGCTGGTCAACATGCTCTGTGCCGGGTGCTTTGAAATTTTTAGGTGGGTTTACAGTGTTCTGTGGCGAGTGGTAGCAGACGACACTTCGTCCCTCCTCCCCCAGCAAAACACACGAGATGGAATAGGAAAGACGAAAAGAAAACGTGTTTTGCGAACAAAAAGAAATATGGACAGAAAGAAATCAACCTCCCCCACGAGCTAGGAACGCTGATTTAGTTGGGATTGGTATAAACATCCCACTTCTATCTGCTTTCTCCTGTTCTCGCCTCTCCTTCTCTGCTGCCCGTGTGAAATGTTCACCGTCACCAACTCCATTTCCATCCTCAGCATCATCATCCGCTTCAGTTGCTAGATTGACAGTCTCTGGATCAGGACTGGTCTGGCCAGGCGTGGGGTCGTGCTCGATGATGTCTGGAACCCAGAATGTGGCGTCGTCGCTTGAATCTGCTTCCTGAACTTCGAGGATATTGTTGTCTGGTTCCCCCCGCCAGGGAGCTCTCATCGAATCCAGCTTTTCTGCCAATGGTTGGCCAGGTTGAAGCTCGACATCTTCTTCCCAGGGCATAGGCACCTCGGGTTCCCAAATGCCATCCATATTCCGCATGAACTTTTTGAGATTGGTAGCTGAATATGTGCCTTTTAGCAGAACTCCGTCTGTGGTCTTGAGCTCATAAGCATGTTTGTCTAGGACCTGAGCAATCAGGTATGGACCCTTCCACTTATAAGAGATCTTGGCATTGCGCGAGTGGCTCATTTTCCGGACGTGGTCATAGACAAGCACGAGATCTCCGACACTCAGTCGAGATTTTCGTACCAGACCCTGCGTTTGACTTTTGGCTGCGATCTTTTGACGGTATGCCTGAACAGCTTCAATTGCCTTCTGCACATCATCTTCCTTGGCTGCGATCATCCTCAACCGCATTTCAAACGCTTCCTGAGGGGATTGGTCTTCGGTCCATGTAAGAACTCTCCACGTCGGGATTTCAGTTTCAATTGGGATAAGCGGCTCCCAACCGAAAATCAAATAGAAGGGGCTGTATCCATGCGACTGGCGGATCGTAGTCCTTTCAGCGAAGAGTGCGAGTCTCAAGTACTGCCTCCATCTCCAGGGTTGAGCATCAGCTAGCTTAGCAAGGGCACTTGCTAAGGAAAGATGACCAGCTTCTACTTGTCCTTGGGCATGGGGATTGTAACTGGAGACCTGGACAAGCAGGATCCCAAGAGCTCTGATGGTCTTGGCCATCTCAGCCTTGTTTTCTGGTCCTCCGTCAACAGTAATTTTGAGAGGGCACCCGAACACAAGAATGATCTCTTCCAAAATGAACTTCCTCATTTCCGCAGCTGTAGCTTTCTTGAGGGGTCTTGCAAGCACATAGCCGGTCAGGTCACAGCGAGCCTCCGCAAGGTATCTGTAACCGCCATCCTCGGCCATGTGTTGAATGTCGATGCTGATCCTCGTGAAGGGTTGACTTGGAAGGGTCGGGATCACTCCTTCCTTCCACATCTTTGGATCGAACTTTGCACACTTCTCGCAACCCGAGACAGCATTGGCCACATCTGTCCAGAGACCTCTCCAGTAGTAGAGTTGCTTGACACGAGCTACCGTAGAGTCTCGACCTCGATGTCCAAACTTGGCATGACATTCTCTGATGATTCGGCGACGAAGATCAGGATCATCTACTACCCGTCGGCGTGGGAGTTTCGCACCAGCGCGGCGCCACAGAGCCTGGTCAAGTACTTGATGCTTTAATGCCTCTACCATGAAGTTCTTGCGATCCCTCTTGGAGAGTTTTGGTGGAATGATCCCGTGGCATAAGAACTCTGCATACCGTTTCGACTGTTCCGTCCACTGAAGAGTTGGATTTAGCAGTGGTACTAGGTCAGCTCCATCTGAGTTCACGCTGTTAAGCTGAGCATCACACCAGTCCTCAACATTGCCATCTTCGTCTTCCTTAGGTGGCGTTGAGTATGGAGGTCGAGAAAGGGCATCAGCCACAGGATTCTTTGACCCGGGAATGTGTTTGACAGTGAAGTCAAACATCTTGATCACTGCCACCCATCTGTTCAGGAGAGCACCGGGTATGTCGTTCATTCCTCCATTGAGTTGGTCCACCAGAACGCGAGCATCGGTTTCCAGAATGAAATGGCAACCATAGAGATGCCGCCGAAGAGACCGTAGGGCACAGAGGACAGCGCGACACTCCCTCTTGGTAGCATCGTACTTCTGTGCTGCAACTGTCCAGGTTCCGCTAACGAAACGTGCTGGCTTTCGTTTATCCTCTACCACCTGCATCAGTGCGGCGCCCCAGCCCAACAGGCTTGCATCCACCATAAGAACGATCTCCCCAGCATCAGTGCTGTAATCAATTGAAATGATGACTGGACGAGACGTGAGCGTCCGGACAAGTGTGGCAACAGCTTCTTTCTGTTCCTTCTCCCACCTCCACGCAGCACCTTTCTTGAGAAGATCGTAGAGTGGTCGGGCAATGATTGCGAAGTTCCAAATCCAAGCTGCATAATAGACGACCAGTCCGATGAAAGAGCGGACGTCCTTGATGTCCTTGCATTCTGTCCAGGCCAGAAGCTTTTCCACCTTCCTGTCCTGAGGTTGTCGTCCGCTGGAACCGACGACATAACCAACCATATCGACTTTCACTCGGCACCATTCTGACTTGAATGCTGAGATTGTGGCTCCAGCCAGCTCTGCATTTACAAGAACCTTGTCGAGGTTTCCGATGTGCTCAGCAATGTACCTACGCACTCCGGGAAGGCTCGGAACCTCTTCATCCCCATAGGTTGTTGTGGGACCACGAACAGGAATGTCGTCGAGGAAAGGCTGGCATATATGAGGAATAAGATCATACAGAAGTCTGACCATTATCCTCATAAACTGAGCAACAGAGTTGGTAGCACCCTGGGGTAGAGTACACATCCTGAACAGGCCTAAGGGCGTTGAGAAGGTCGTCATATCCCTGCTGTTAGGATGCAGTCGCACTTGGTCGTACCCGGAAAAGAAGTCGAGCAGTGAAAGAACCTTGCACATGGCGAACTCCTCCGAGAATTCATCTGAGGCAGGCGGCATGAAGGCATCTTTGAGGCTGTGCTTGTTGTACTTTTGAGCGTCATTGATCAGGCGTAAGCCACCATCCTTTTTGACAACAAGAAACCAGTTGTTTCTGTATGATGCATGGCTTTCCTCAATGATCTCCCGCCTGATACGTTGTTTCAGGAGCTCCATCAGCTTTGGCCTGAGAGCATTGGGGATTGGAATGTGCCTCGCTTGAAAGACCTCGTGGGGTACGGTTCTGATTTCTTGCAAGGGAGCCACTTCCTCAATGATCTTTCCAATCTCAGTAAAGTCCCACGCAAGGGCTTTGATCCTGTTTCTCAACATGTGTTTGAACATTTCCTTCTCAGCCTCAGAAAACCCTTCACAGTTTTTCTCTTGCATGGCAGCCCACCGGTCAGGTCTCAGGCGCTGATCAGGATCCAGATCGCTGAACTTGGGTTCAATCCACTCATCATACTTGGTAGGCTTTGTGGATCGCTGAGCTCGTCTCATCTCCTCAACCTTGGCAGGCTTCCACCCGATCGTCCCTTCCGGTACTGAACCATCAGGCTGGGAATCATTAATTGGCTTGACCTTCTTGTCTTTGGGCTTGTAAAGAGTGTTGACCAGGCCTAAGACATCTTTTCTTTCCTTCCCCACACAACGTGGCTGGCGTGAATGGCGCTGGCTGCTGTGCATTCCACACAGGCAAGACCCTCGGGTCGCTCCTTCCTCATTCACCATGGAGCAACCCTCCTTCAACTTCCTCCCCATCAGTTCCACCGTTAACTCGTTCACAACAGCCGCAATGTCTCGTTCAGGTATGGACATCACAGCTGTATCTCCCTCCTCCAACAACACCCACTCTGGGACGACTTCTCCGCTGACAGCCCTGCGTCCCTCAGGGTGGCTGCCAGCACTCAGTTTTTTGGTGTGGTTCTGTGTGAACCCTCCCCTTCAAGGAGTTTCTGACCGCCGATTGTGGTGACCAGTTGTACTCCTCCAAAGGCGAAGCTCGCACGGAGAAATCCGGGGATGGAGTGATCAAAGGAAAGCTTGGTCTGCATCACAAACGGCATTCCTAACAGCACAGGATGATTTGGCGACATCAATCTGTCGTCGACGACATAGAATATCACCTGTTCAGAGAAGCCGCCACAGAAAACATCGGTTTCAAGAACTCCAACAAGCGCCATATCTGATCCATCGTACGTGCGTGAGATAACATTCGATGTTGGCACATAAGACAAGCGCATGCTCGAACACAGAGAGAGAGCTACCAAGCTCATTTCGGCACCTGTATCCAGCATTGCTCGTACAGGTTCATTCTCTTTACCTCCCAGCTGCAGAGGGATGTATGCCACCGGAGCGATGCTCCTATCTCGGATGCTGCTGAGAGCAGTCATGGAAGCCGTCACAGGAGGAAATGAGGATTTGTTGAAGGCTCGAATCATGTTAACAGTAGGCTTGACATAGCTAGGTTCAGCAACAAGAGACAAAGCTTGAACTGCGGGTGGTTGAGCCAGTCTCGAAAGGTACTCAGTAATGTCCCGAGTGTTGATAATCTGACCATCAATAAGCCCTTCAGGCTGGGAAAGCGTCGAGATTCCGGGTTTATGCTGCGATGAATTGGCTGATCCAGCAGTATCTACCTTGTGCAGGTCCGAGCCGGTTTGATTGTCGAGATCAACAACTTTTCGGGCTCCAGAGCTGACTCCTTGAAGACTGTGAATCAGACGGGCTCCCCATCCTGGTAACATGACTGTCATCTCCCGGCCTGAGACCTTCAACGGGTGGTCTAGGAACTGATTCAGGAGCTTGTCACTAATGGCCTGAACTGTTGGCTCTCTGTCCAGACTGTTGGATTGCTTGTTGGATTCCTCTGGTCCAATATTCCCGAAATGTGTAGGGACCTCAACAGTCCTCACACTTGCATCTCCTCCAACCTCACCATCATCATACCCAGCCTCCCCAACACGGCGCTTCTTTGCTTCACCCGCGTTTACCTGGGCTTGGACAGGCCCAACACCCACAGCATTGATGCTGGGAAGCTTTGGTAGGTACAGTTCGGCTTGGGCTGGAGTGAGATATGACTTCCCCACTTGAATCTCACCAGCATTGCTGAGGATCTCAATGTTGTTGGTCCTGTACTGATTGTTGCGTCTGGGAACGGGGTCGGTCTCTTCCCACAGTGTCTTATTCTTGGCCATCTCAGGGTCTCCACGCCATTTCTCGTCCTCTTGGACCAGGCTGACATATCGAGAGATCCAAGGATCCTCAACACCCTTCAGCCGCTGATCCTCACAGAGACCGAGGATCAGACGGATCATACCGCCTTTGGGGTTATCTCGAGCGGACATGACCTGGCCATATGACACTGGTTTTGACCTAGAGTCCAGAAACTCCGAGCGATTGCCAAGATGCCACTCTGGCTTCGCTAATGCTGGAGCATAGCAAATGCCACAGTCCATAACAGTACGGAGTTCCACGCACTCATGAGCTCCATGGGACTTCGACCCACAGCCGTAGCACCTGCGCAGAGTTCCGTCCTTCTTCAGGATTTCATTGATCTCCGCTCGCCATGCTTCAGAGTACTGCTCCCCCTCGTCCTCCGGACTTGTGTAGGTAACACCCATCTGCAAGGAATTTGCATTCCCCTGGGGAGGATTCCTCGCAGAAACAGTTTGGGGACGCCTGATCAGTTGTGAGATCTCCTGTAGAGCCTTGGTTTGGTCATACGAGACATCCCGCGTCTGTCTGAGAGCATCAGTCTGCAGCTTTAAGGATTTTGCCATTGCAATTTGGTCAATGCGGAGTTGCTCCATCATTGAAGCCAACTGGTTGTATCCTTGGTCGCTCTTCTGAGCAGGTTCAGCCTTCAAGATCTGCTTAGTCGGTTCAGGCTGAGCTTGCCAATCACGAGTTGACTGTTGAGGCGGTTGATAGTACGATGGCCCTACTGCTTGTCCCGACGGGTTCATCGGTTGACTGGGAGCACTATGCATCGGATGTGGAACAGGAACGGGCCGTGTCTGGTCAAGGACCGGCTGAGGTGGAGGCATAGGAGGACCTTGGAATTGAGCCTGTTGATGAAGTTGAAGGTTGGTAGCACCGGAGGCAAGTTGGTCTTGAGTCTCCTCCTGGAGTGCTTCACGATGAACCTCCAACAGCTTTTCCATAAGGTAAGGCCACTTCTTGTCGCTGACGCTTTCGGCAGTAACACCATGGTCAGCTCGGAGGCGCTTGATCCAGGTCGAAGGGAGCTTCATCCATGCTTCTGCCACAGGTTGACTGTCTCTGATCTTAAGACGAGTGAGAGCGTTGTCATAGTCCACAATGAACGACCAGAGGCTAGCGGCATCGGTAATGAAACGGTTGTTGATGATGTTCAGGCGCTCCTGCTCGGGGGTGTACGCCTGGAGATGGTCCCAAGGGCGATAAGCAACCAACAGTCGCTCCTTCTGTTCATCCCAAGTTTTGGCGCTTGTAGTGAATCTCTCCACTTCTCCGGCAACGATTGTGTCTGTACAGAAGCCTTTCATGAAGTTGAGTGCTTGAGTGTCATCAATCCCTTTGATCTGACGCCACCAGTCGAATCGCTTCAGCCACGAGGAGACTTCCACACGGGCAAACAACGTCAACCCACCACCAGCAAGCTCACTGTGGGAGGGGAACCTGAAGTTCTGACCATAGTGGTTGTTGGCCAGGTGGTCGGCCGAACTGGGTGTCTGATTGGAAGAGCCCTCAGACGTGGAGGCCATCTTCCCTCTTGGTTGTCGCTTCCTCCGATGTTTCTTTGCCTTCCTGGTTCGAGGTCCTTGAGTTGAGGGCGCCACAGCCGGAATGCCTTCCGTATCCTGCGGAAGACAATACTGTGGAGGTCGAGGGGGTTCAGGTGCTTGAGGGAGGTTCAGTCTGTGAGTGGAGCGTGCATGAGGTCTGTCTTGTGATGAACAACAAGGGATTGAGTTGGCTGTTCTGTGCTGCACTGGGATTTCCTTTATCAATAGTCCTGCCAACCAATGGAGGCATTTCTGACCAGGTGTAAGGCGTCGATTAAAGTTCGACATCGGATGATGTCGTCGTAATCCTCGACCTCTATTCCTCGTGTGCACTGACGGTTCCTCATCTTCACCTCCCTGTGTCCTTCGCTTTTGGGATAATGCAACCAGCAAGCTTTTGATCCAAAGGATCAATGTGGCCAGACGTGTCCAGGTAGAGCGTGCTGATCGGACCATCGCAAGGAGCACAGACCTTGTTAACCATGCCACTTTTCTCTGCAGAGTACCATCCACCAAAAGCATCCCACTCTGTAATTTAACCATGGACCCACATCCGACATGGTTAAACTTTCCGCTGCAGCCTGTACAGGTCTGAGCCGTATCAGCTTCTGTATAGGATCGTTGATTGATGTGGGAAATGTTGGAAAAAGGAATTCGTTTCTTCGTAATATTGGCCCGCGGGCTCAACGCATCGTTCACCGGCCCACGACCAGAACTCACACCACTCCTCCTCTGTCCACCCATCTCCCCTCTACGAGAGGTCTCAGGCATGACCCAGAGTCCAGACATGATGCACAGCCTGTCGTGTAAGCGTGATAGATAAAGGAAATAAAAGAGCTCAGCAGGGAAAAAGAGTGCGCCCGTCCATAGGGTAAACTTGCTGCTCTTACTGATCCTCACGAACTGTAACGCAAACAGCCCTGAGCTACCAGCCTGAACAGCTAAGTCCACACTCACCGCACCATTGAACCAGAACTAGGGCGCCGTCGCCCTCGAAAGAAAGAGGGACAAACAGCTGCCGAAGCAATGGGCAAGGGCTCATGCAACCCAAGCGTGCCTGTACAGATGAGGACAGCAAACTAAGGCCACACGGGCGCAAGAACAGGGTGAAAAACCTGTCTTAGACCTGTCCAAAGGGTTCAAAATTGAAAAGAAGAGAAAGGATGCTTGATTGTTGCTTATAGCTAAAGAATTTGAAAAGTGGGTGGTATCCTTTATATGTATGAGGACCCTTGACCCACTGTACTCCACGTCCCACGGACTACCACCCTGGCCACCACAACAATAGCTTTAGAACTTAATCGATTTTCTTATTACTTCGTATAATGCAGATTAAGAATAAGGAAAAAATGATCTGCATATCAGTGCATTGCAGTATAGTTTAAAAGCAGCTTGTTTATACAGAGGGTGATTAATAGTCTTGTTATATCTACAAGTAACTCTGATAATCTCGACTTGCCTGCAGATAGAGATAATAGAACAAAGATTCTATCTGCAATATCACTGCCTAAGCTTAGAAGAAGCATTACTTAAGTATATTTTCAGTACAGATCAGTATTAAAGACTTTTTGACTGTTTAGTAGTAACCTTGTATAACACTATCAAAATCAAGTATACAATAAGTCTCGAAGTTCTAAAGCTTCTCTTGGCCCTAGTAGGATAAGAATGTAAGCACTACTATCTGCTGCAGCAGGAATCTTCATTGAAACACAGCCCGTTAAACCATTTCCTGCTTGAGCATCTACCTGATATGTCGGGGTAGCGAAAATTGCATTTGCAATTTGTTAGCTAAAAAACCTATCAATATTTGCAATGCAGCACTCTCTCAGAAAGATATCAGGAAGAGAGTAAACCTTTTAGCCATGAGGCAAATATATATAACGATAACCATCCTTCATCTCTACCTGTATATTAAACAACATGTAAGCAATGTGTTCAATCTTGGTACTCATAACCTCTATCCTTAGCAGATACTCCATAGAGCCTTGCAACATATGTACCATCGAAACCGCTACTCTTACTTAACTAGGCTAGCCGGGTAGAACTTGCTTAACAACGGCTTCAGCGAGGTAGAGAGGGAAGATGCTCGCGCACTTATCGATGGAAGCGTTCGTGAGAACATATTGATCTCCGGTAAAGAGCTTGAATAGATTGACGATGATGGGAGGGGGTTGGCGCGATGTGGTTATAGACTGCAGTATTCGGGAGGGTTGTGTCGGCATCATGGGTTGGATCGTTGTAGAGTCTGTGCTGTTGCTATGCCTAGCGCTGTATCCTTCTGCCTGCCAAACGTTTCCCGTATCCTGAGAGCCTTCTGCCTGCCGAATATCTCCCGTGTCCTGCGAGCCTTCTGCAGCGCTGCATTCCCTTTCAGCATCATTGCTAACGCTGGTAGAGTCAAGTACCCGTTCGAAATGCGCTCGTTATTCAGAACCCATCTTTTCGTTCAGCTGTCTTGCAAGTGCTTAGCATGTTCCGACATCTAGCTGATTTATGCGATTGAATAGCTCTCTGCAGTTTTTTCTACTCGGAATATGGCCAGTAGATTCTATCTTATCTTTTATCAGAGAATACGCAGCCCAGACCGCTATGCCGCCATATTCGTAAAAGATCTTTTCCAACGTATTCTGGCCCACGCTTTGTATTTTTTGTAAGTCTGTAGCAAATTTTCGCGGGAGCTTTCGACAGTCTTGGATTTGCTTAAGGATCTCGTTAAGATTATCGTGGCTTCTGGGGTTTATAGCTGAGTCGTGGCTGGCTTGATCTCAACTTCCAGATTTACTGCATGCTATAAGGAGTGGTGATGCGGTGTGCATAAAGTAGCTTCGAGAACAAGTGTTGTGATTAATAAGTGGAGTAGAACAAATAGCATAGCTTCTAAAAAACTCGGATTCTGCAGATTCGTTGCAGCACTTGTCGCTGCACTTGTTGCTGCACGAGCCAATCATGCGAGCTGGGTGAGCGGATGAGCTCGTGCCTGGCCTTAATCCAACTCTCGTGCAAGGCATCACTGCAGGCTCCTTTTCCTCAAGCTGCCTGTGCACGCTAAAGATACCGGGGGGCAGGCCCCTGCCCGTATGTGGCGGTGCTAGTCTTGTCAAGAAAAACCAGTCTGATTGGCTATAGGCGGTTACTTAGGGGTCCTTCTCGAAGGTTCCTACTAAACAGTACTCAGATACCACCTGGAGCTGCACTGCACAGCCCAAACAACTCACTCAACTAACTACTACTGCGAAATAGTCTATATTATAACCTATCTAATATGCAGATCACAAAGCAGATCGCATAAAACAATAGACAGGAAAAGCTAACAACTAGGATCTAATATTTAGAACAAAAGTGCTTATATAATCAAGGTTTAGAGTTGCAAAGAAGGGATAATCGAAGGAGTTGGCCAGCGAGTCTAGCAACTTATACTAAAGAGCAGGGTATCTAATCTTATATTATTTACTATATAGATAGATCTTGTTTATAGCTTTCCAGTTGCTAATCTAAGTTCTGAGTATATAAATATTTGAAAGCTCTAAAGGCAGTGAATACTTGTATTAGAGATTGTTTTCTATTTAAGGCTTGTATTTAGCACTGCTTATATTAGCATAAACCTTTCGAAATACTTTGAAATCTTCAGATAACTGCAGTGCTTATTATAATGATAATTGCTAATAATACTTCTATATAGAACAGCAATTAACTTAGCAACAATGCTGCCTTCTTTGATAAGAAATAAGCTGTTCAATAGATTGTGCCTGCAGACTATAAAAGAAAACCCTACTTCCTCAAATGCAGGCTTATCATATTTCAAAAACATAGAAAGGCCTTATAATATATAAGAGGCAGTGGAGAAAGTAATCTTCAAATTAACATTGGAGTTTATATTCGATATTTATGCAAAAGTAGTTGTATTATAAAACTACAATAGTTTTGCAGAATATGCAAACAGAGCTTTATAGCTGTACAAAACAGAATTCGAGCAATATCAACTGCTCTATAAGCCGAAGTATGCTCATGTAGTGAATCAGAACTGGGGCGCTGTCGCTCTCGAGAAGAAGAGAACGGCTGCTGAAGCAATGAGCAAGGGCTCATGCAACCCAAGCATGCCTGTAAAAACAAGGACAGTAAACTAAAGCCACACGGGCATAAGAACAGGGTGAAAAACCTGTCTTAGACCTGTCTAGAGGGTTCAAAATAGAAAAGAGAAGAGAAGTTGCTTAATTATTGTCTTTTAGCTAAAGAATTTGAAAAGTGAGTGGTATCCTTTATATGTGTAAGAACCCTTGACCTGCTTTACTTACATTTATAGTCTTGAAGCATGCTATGCTGACTATCAAAACTGTTCTTTCAAACTATATAATGAATATGCTATAGCACAGCCCAAACGCCACCCAATTCTTAACTAGAGAATGCTATTGAGTGAAGACAGGTTATGCAATTCTCTACTAGTTGATTTTCCATCTCCTATCTGCAGAGCTGGCTCTCTGCAATTGCCTACACAATATACAAGCCGAGGAAATCAGGTAGTGCCTTAATAGAAGCACCTATATAAACATAATAATTTAGACTTAGTTTGTTAAATAAATAAATATTAAGGATATTATGATAGATTTACAGTTTAATAATTTTAGTATATGCTCAGCTTAAGGGAATAGAAGATTGATAATATTCTGAGCTAGTCTAATATCTAGAAATATAAAGCAATCTTGATTGTTTACCCAGAACAATCTTGTTCTAATAGTCTGTATTCTCTGTATTAGGTTGAGAGAATTCCTTGACAACTCTAGTTCAGAAGAGACTAAACGCCAGACAGGTTGATAGAATCTCCTAGTTTGTTATAGCAAAGTCAAGAGTACACCCTTCGATTTTTTGTTAGATTTAATAATCCCTAGGGAAGTCAGAATCTCTAATAATCAATTGAGAGCAGCGATAAACAATGCTTCAGCCAGATTCAGGGATATTATATCTCTGAACCTTTGAAAACGAGAGTTGTTTGTCTTCTTTGCAAGGACAATCAGAAGGCCTATAGGCTTTTTTGAGTCATATTTCCGATGCGACCTTGCCTAAAGCCAATAATGCATAATACAACTAGAAGGGGACCGCATTTTCGTAGAACATCGAAGAGAAATTCTCGAAATTTTTGCAGCTGAGGCTGCATACTAGCCGCTTAACTAAATAGACCTATACTCTTCGAGAGCAGCATTCGAGCCCGCTTCTTCAAAGCAGTAGGGCTAGCGAGCACATTTTCTAGACTTTGCCATGCTTGCAAGGCAGAAATAGGGAGTTGACGTTGCTGTTATAGATGCCAATGTGCCAACACAGGGAAATTCCAGCTGTTATGCGACGCATTCATAATGTATGAAACCCTGATAATAAGAGGAGAAATGTACTCAAAAGCAATCAACAGCTTCAGAATTGGGAATCAAAGAGCGAGCATACTTTAGATTCAACAAGAACAATTACGTAGAGACACTCTTTTCATTTGCTCATGAACTATGACCCATGTTTATGCTCAAGAAAGTGCCTGCCGAATATATCTAAACCAGCGAAATACCCAACCTTGAATACCAGCCCCCAGCATGCAAAGAACACTGCCAGTCTCAGGCTGCTGCATGCTCTTTCATTAGAATCTAGCAATAGGTGAAGGAGTAGCAATTAAACACTGACCAATGAAGACTGGTTTTGTCCTTGATAGGGATATTTTTTGAGCACATCCGACAAAGCATTATATGCTCTTGATCTTGGTATACAGCACCCACATAAGATTCGAGATGTTGTTTTGTATTGATAGAGTATATCAAGAGAGCCGTGTTTGCATATGTTGCAGTATCTCGGTCCCAGTATTGCTCGTGGTGACTCTTTGGTATACCGATCCATCCTGTAGAAAACAAGAAAAGCTGGACTTCAAGGATAAGGATGTTCCTAGGACATAAGACACATTGTAATGAGCACTGCAGTTATCCGAAGATTCCTTAAGTACTGATTGAGTTTATGCTAACAAGAGCGATATCAAAGTGTAAGTCCTTGAATACGGAAACGTACAAGTCCTGGTGAAAGTGCAAGTGTTCACTGCCTTTGGAGCTATCCAAGTGTGTAACAAATGAATACTTAGATTAACGACTGAAGAGCTATGTACTGAATCTATCTAATGGTAATGAACGTGTTCTTATATATCCAGCTCTTCAGTTCTGACTATCCTGACTATGTTCCGATTCCTCATAGTCGTTTCCTAAATATGTTGACTATATCCATAGTTGACATAGTCGCGCTAGTAACCCTAACCCGGGTTACGTAATCCTTATTGGCTGTCTTGATGTTGAGTCATGACACCTGGTCCTTCTGTTAGTTGGGCGTGTTTCAGGACCTGCATGTTGGATGGGTCATAACATCATCTCCCTCCTATGGATCGTTGTCCTCAACGATCTTTCGTAAGTTTTCTCGGCTGTTCTCCCTGTCGTGTGTCGTGCCTTCCTAATCCATCATGTCGAGCAGAGTTAACAAATCTCGCGTTCGCAAACCCTCCTCTGTCCCAAAAAGTACCCAAGATCGAAATCTCTTGGTTTCCCGCCTCTTGGAGAATTTTGTCGAGATGCCCGTCTGTTCCTATTGCGAGGGGCGCGGTTTCGGATCCTGCAAGGTGTCTCCCGGAGACTCTTCTCGTTGCATCGAATGTGTTCGTCTGGGTCGCTCCAAGTGCGACGTCATGGGTCCTTCCCCTGAGGAGCTTCGCAATATCGCCACCCAACATCGAAAGTTGGAGGACGAGATTGAGAAGAGGGAGACCGAGCTTCTCCGTCTGCGTCAACAGAAGCGGATGTGGTCCGAGAAGATGAAACGTGCCCTGCGTCGTGGTATTACTCGCGTGGAAGAATTGGATCGTGTGGAGGCTGAAGAGCGCGAGGCCGAGCGTCGTGCCGCGGAGGAGGAGCAGCGTGTTGCTGAGACATCGGTTCCCGAGGGTCCTCTTCCTGAGGGACTTCCTCCCTGGGTGCCCGACTTCGATTTCTTGTCTGGCTTTCTGGCTGAGGGCGGCGCGGTTCCTGGCCCTTCCGAGGATCGTTCCGGGGCGGAGCGCTCTTCCTAGGTGGTTGTTATCGTCGTGCCGCTAAGATGACTGCCAATGGTGTGGTGTTTGGATGGAGGCTAGTCTTTTTCTTCCAATATTCTATCAATTTTTCCATGGCGTTTCCGATGTTTTCCTGTGATTCCCATGAATTTTCGCTTGTTGAGTAGCCTTTCCACTTGATAAGGTATTCCAGTGTGTTGTTTCTTCCTCTGTGCTTAATGATGCGTTCTACTTCGTACTCTGGTTCGTTGTTTTCTACTTCGATGGTATCGTCTGTTGGGATTTCTTGTGCTGCTGGTTCCAACAGTGAGATGTGGAAGACCGAGTGTATTCTCATTCCGTAGGGTAGTGCGAGTTCGTAGTTGATTGGGGAAACTTGTTGTAGAATTTTGAATGGTCCCAGTTTCTTGTGGTCAAGCTTGTCGCTGGGTCTCTTTGTTTTGATGTTTCGTCGTAGTAGGTAGACCTTATCTCCCTTCTGTAGGATTGGTCCCTCAATCCTTTTGGAGTTTGCATATCTCGTCATCCGTTCTCTGACAAATGCAAGTTCTTCTCTGAGATTTTCCTGGAGTTTCTGGATTTTCTTGACTCTTTTGTCTGCTGCTTCTGCATTTGCTCCTGGGATCTCTTCATGGTAGGCTGTGGGATTGTAGCCATAAAGCGCGTAGAATGGTGATGTCTTTGTGGTAGATGTGTCTGCGCTGTTGTATGCGAATTGTGCCAGTGGTAACAGGTCAACCCAGTTATCCTGTTCTTCGTTTACATAGTGCTGTAGATATTGTTCGATGATCTGGTTGATTCGTTCTGTTTGTCCGTCCGTCTGCGGGTGAAACGCTGTTGACATCTTATGTTCGGCTCCGAGTCGTTTCATGAGTGAGGTCCAGAAGTTTGATGCGAACTTTCTGTCTCTGTCGGAGATGACTTCTTGGGGCATGCTGTGGCCGGATATGATTGTTCTAAGGAATGTATATGCGAGTTCTTCTGCTGTGCTGCTTTCCTTGTAGGGGAGAAAATAAGCATACTTGCTCAGTCTGCAAACCACTACTAAGATGCTATCGTACTGCACTTTAGTTAAGAGTTCTCGTGAGAGGGATAGCTTGGTGATGAAGTCTAGACTGATTGATTGCTAAACAGTTGTAGGTACTGGTAAGGGTTGTAGCAGTCCGTAAGGCTTGTGTCTCTCTGCCTTGTTTTTCTTGCAGCTGTCGCATTGTCGTAGGATATTTTCAATCCTTTTCCTGAGGCCTGGTGGGTTCCAGTGTCTCTTGATTCGCTCGTAGGTTGCTCTGACTCCTTGGTGTCCGTGTGCTGGGGCACCATGTATATCCTTGATGTATTCTTCTTGTTCTGCTGGGGTCATCTGCTCGGGGTTTCTGACTTGGGGTCCTATTCTGAGGGTTGCCGCAAGTTCCTTGTGTGCGTTGATGAGGTCTCCTTCCTCATTGAGTGCAAAGATGTTTTGGATTTCTTCCTCAATCTTATCCTGGTGGTCTGCTCTTCTGCTGAGAGCGTCTGCCCTGGCGTTTTCCTTGCTTTGGATGTGGATGACCTTGAAGTCGAACTGAGATAGGTATTCTGCTCATCTTACCTGTTGTCTGTTGAGGTTCTTCGTCGTTGTGAATGTGGTAAGGTTCTTATGGTCCGAAAATACCTTGATCGTGTGTTTGGCACCTATAAGGTGGTGTTTCCATTCCTTGAATGCTTCCACTATGGCTATGAGTTCCTTGTCTGGTATTCCGTATCGTAATTCTGGTCCATTAAGCTTTTTGGAGAAGTTGGCGACTATCTGTAGTCGTCCTTGTTCGTTGCGCTGGTTGAGTTCTGCACCGAGTGCATAGTCTGAGGCGTCTGTATACAGTTCGTATTCCTTTCGAGGATCTGATTCTCGTAGAACTGGGTCCTTGGTAACTAGCTCCTTAATGGTCTCGAAGGCCTGGTCTTCTTCCTGATTCCATTGAAAGGGTAGGTTCTTTTTTGTGAGGTTTGTGAGAGATCTGGCAATTTCGCTGTATTTGCTGATAAACTGCCGATAGAAGTTGGCGTATCCGAGGAATGCTCTGACGTCCTTGACGTTTTTTGGTGTAGGCCAATCCCTGATTGCCTGTATCTTATCTTTCTGCATCCTGATGCATTCTGGTTCAATGATATATCCGAGATAGTCGATCTTTTGGATATGGAAGTAACTTTTTGTTGGTTCCACTAGGAGGTGTGCATCTTGGAGCGTCTGGAGTATCTGTCGTACGTGCCGCTTGTATTCCTCGAGGGTTCTGGAGTAGATGAGGATGTCGTCTAGGTAGACGATGCATGTAACATCCAGGAATTTGCGGAGGACATGGTTGATTATTTCCTGGAAGGACGCCGGTGCGTTGATCAATCCAAAGAGCATAATCAGATACTCGTAGTATCCGTAGCGAGTCCTAAATGCTGTTTTCCACTCTTCTCCTTCCTTGATGCGGATGTGTGCGTATGCCTCTTTGAGATCTAGTGCTGTGAACCATTGTACGCCTTGTAATCGGTTCTTGATTTCCTTGAATAATGGTAGTGAGTACCGATTCTTTTTGGTGATGTCGTTGAGCTGTTTGTAGTCCACACAAAGCCGGAGTTTTCCGTTCTTCTTTGGTACGAACAGGATCGGGTATCCTGCTAGTGATCGTGACAGCCTGATGTATCCTTTCTTCAGGTTCTCGTCGAGGTACTCCCTGAGTGCCTCTAGTCTTGCTTCATCAAGCCCGTAGATAGGGAAGAACTGTGGCTGAGTTCCTTCCTTCAGTGATATCTCGTGGTCGTATGGGCCGTGTTCTGGAAGTCCTGTGTCCAGTTTTCCTTGGAACAGCTTCGTAAATTCGTGATACTCTCGTGGTATTCCAGCGAATGTTGGTATTGGTCCATCCTTCTCCGTTTCTGCTATCTGAAGAAATAGGAGGTACCGTTGAGCGTCTTTGTCTGGAGACAGTCTCTTTCCCTTGCCTGTTGGTTGTCTTTTCGGGGGTTCTGGGACCCTTAGATTCTCGTTCCGAGCCGGACCGAAGTTTCTGGGATGCCATGGCTGTGGGATTTCTTTGTGGTTCGCAAGACCACACTTCTGTTGTCGCTCCGAGCCGGACCGATTTCCTGAGGGTCTGCATATGCTCGTTGTTGTGTTAACCTGCTGATGCCCTGGCACTGTTGATTTGGGTTCATCTTTGCTAGATTCTTCTCCATGAGCCATCAGCCCTGCTGATTTGGAGGTATTCGTGGGTTCGTTTGAGGCCTCGTTTCTTGAGTGCGCTTCAGTGACTGAATCCGATCCTTCGCCTTTGATTGCAACCTTCTTATGGGTAACAGCGTTGTCCCATAAGATCTGGCCAGTAGTCCAATCGATTCGAGGATTGTGCTCCCTGAGCCATAGTATTCCTAGTATCAGTTCGTGTTGTGCTGTTTCTGTGATGTCCAACGTAATAGAGGTCGTTTTGCCGCAGATCGTAACTGGTAGATGATCAGTCTCCATGTTGATAATACCTTGGCTGTAGTCGACGTTCGTTCCGTCCACAGTTCTGAGTACGTAGATCTCCATCTTCTTATGCCATGGGATCTTGTCCCTGTTGATGATTCGTGGGGATATGAAATTTCCCTGAGCGCCACTGTCCAACAGTGCGCTGTATCTTTTCCCGTTGACCTCTGCTTCGAGTATCAAGTGTGTTGTATCGGCTCCCTGAGTCGCACAGAGGGACCGTGTCTCTGGTCCTGATCGTCTGTTGTCCCTTACAGGCGATCTTGCTCTTTTGGAGCTTCTCGCGCCGCTTGCTGCGAGAGCTTCTTGGCTTCTTTTTGGGCATACTTGTGCCGTGTCAGAGCTTCAAGGGCTTCCTTTGCCTCTTGATCCTCTTTTCTGAGTTCCCTGGTCATGGTCTTCCGGAGCTCTCTATCCTGGTGCCATTCCTTGATCTTTTTAGGTCCATGGATGTCGCAGTTCTCGTGTTTGCAGTTCCGCCATTCGTTTTTCTTGATAATGCATTCCGCAGGAAATTGTTCTGGTAATCCGATAATTGCGTAGCTTGATTGCTGGTTGATCTTGGTCTTGAACTTGAGGTCTTCCTTGGTGTAGAGAATCGTAGGCCTGTTTCCTTTTGGCCTGGTCGGGAACCAGTTGTTGCTGATCTTGTCAGGTAGGTGGGTCATGCAGTTATGGAAGATGCATGAGGTCCATCCTATCTCGTGGTGGTAGAGGTGCCTAGGGGAGATCCTGAGATCTTCTCCATTCTTGGTTAACTAGTCGCAGTATCGAATTTTGGTGATTGCTTGTCTAAGCGGGATTCCTGGGATCCAGTATTTGGCGTTGAGTCGTATAGCCTGTGCTTGTTGTTCTTCTTCTTCCGTCATATCGAGGACTCGCTGCAGGGTTTCCTCGAGTTCTGACATTGTGGGATCGTTGTCGGGGGTCTCCGATGATTCTGTTTCCCAACTGTCCATGGTTTATTTGGCCAGTTGTCGTTCCTGTAAGTGTTCCCTGAACACTTGTTCCATGGTGTCTGAGGCGTCTGAGTCGCTATCGCTGAGCGCCTGTTCGTAGCGTAGTCCTGTCTTCTTATGCTGTCTGGGAAACCATCCTGACGCTTCTTTCTCACTGAGGTGTGATACGCATTGATCGTCGTAGCAGGCTGTCCAAGACAGTCGGCGGTGATCAAGGTCCGTCACTTGCTCTGAGTTTTGATTGGGGTCGGAGTGGTTTATTGGGTGCCGTAGACAATCGGCGCAGCATTCATAGGATGCTTCTGGTATGTGGTAGATCCGGCACTTGGTGTCTGTGCAAGTGCACCGGTCTGTGTGTCGTGTGAGGACGTTGATTTGTCGCTCTGCTGTGTTTACCTGTCGTCCTTCTGGGACGGGTTGCCATCGTAGCTTCCTGGGGTGCCGACATTCTCGTGCGAAGTGGCCATGCTTCCCGCAACTGAAGCATTTGATGTTGCCCTTCATCTGTCGTTGTTCGTAGCGATGGGCTGCATCGATTTCCATGGGGCCCGAGTGTATTATTCCGCCGTAGGCCGTACTGGTTCGTCCCTGGTTACCAGGTCCCTTGTTATGCTGGTATTTCTTCCCGGTATTGGCTTGTGTGCGAGCGATCCAGGGGACGTGGGCTTTTCCCTGTTTTTCCAACCTTCGTTCGTACTGTCTGTCGTCGATTTTTGTGGCGAGCGCGATGAAGTCTACTAGCTTCGTAGGTCGTTCAGCGCGTGCGAGATCATCCTTGACTTCGTCCTTGAGTCCGTCGTAGTATTGGGCGATGAGGGCTGCGTCATCCCACTGCAAGTGTGAGGAAGCCTTCCGAAATTCCGTGGTGTACTTAGCTGCGGACTTGGTCTGCTTGAGCTTGAGGAGTTCTCGCTCAGCCTTGCGCTGTTCGTCTGTGTCGCCGAAGGTGTCCTTGAGAGCCTGTTCGAGGTTGTCGAAATCCTGGAAGATGTGTTTCGTGTTCTTGTCCTGCTCGGGTTCGTCGTACTCGAAGTAGTTCCTGAGGGTAGGTTCGAACCAAGTGAGTGCATCTCCCTTAAGTCTGGTTCCGGCGAAGATGACCTTGTTGGCTTTCTTTGGGAACTTCTTTTCTTCGTGATGGAAGTAAGCCTTGCACTGGGTCAAGAAGGCCTGGAGAGTGTGTCGCTCTCCTCCGTAGAGTGCGGGGGCTTCCATCTTGTAGTGGAATTCTTTGCTGTTCGACTTCTGTTCCTCGAGTTCCTTAATACGCTTCGTAAGCGCCTCAATTTGGTCAGTAAGGTTAGTAGCGCTGCCGCTGACAGATCCAGTTGGGGTTTGGGGAGCCATCGTGTTTCCGTATTGCTCAAGGGGTATACACTGAACCGTTCTTGAACAAGAGTCGTCAAAATGTAATGAGCACTGCAGTTATCCGAAGATTCCTTAAGTACTGATTGGGTTTATGCTAACAAGAGCGATATCAAAGTGTAAGTCCTTGAATACGGAAACGTACAAGTCCTGGTGAGAGTGCAAGTGTTCACTGCCTTTAGGGCTATCCAAGTGTGTAACAAATGAATACTTAGATTGACAACTGAAGAGCTATGTACTGAATCTATCTAATGGTAATGAACGTGTCCTTATATATCCAGCTCTTCAGTTCTGACTATCCTAACTATATTCCGATTCCTCATAGTCGTTTCCTAAATATGTTGACTATGTCCATAGTTGACATAGTCGCGCTAGTAACCCTAACCCGGGTTACGTAATCCTTATTGGCTGTCTTGATGTTGAGTCATGACACCTGGTCCTTCTGTTGGTTGGGCGTGTTTCAGAACCTGCATGTTGGATGGGTCATAACACACATAGTCCAGGCCTTTCCTTCAGAATCGATCCTTTTATATAATCTCATGGCTATCTGTGTTGAACTCTGTATTGCTTCTGATATAATCTGTGGAGACAGGGTGCCCATGCTATTAACTCAGCGTGATCTACCCGGGTTACTGCTTGTACTGCGGGTTCAGTATACTGTGTAGAGTATTGATTCAGAAACAGTCTACCTGGGATATTTTATTTTCTGGGATAAATTGATCAGAGGCTATAGTAACTCGCCAGCGCTAAAGAGACATGCAGCAGTAATATGACTCTAGGTTATATAGCAGCAAACCTGACTAGCAAAATTATAATTTCTAAGCTAATAAGACTTTGCTCTAATATGTTGTTTTACCAAGCAACTTACTCCTAGATCTGTTCGACTACTCTGGAGCAACTGTGCTTCTTCTTGTTTAATCTCTCTGCTGTTACTCAAACAACCTAAAAGTATCTTAATATTAGCAAGAGATTAAAGATTTCTATCTGCATAAAAGAGCCACTCTTATTGAAACAATAAGTATTATAAAGAAAAAGTTCGGTCTAATAGCAAAACAAGTTATACTAATAGTTTCTTCTTTATTGAAATTAATAAGAAATGTAGTTGTGCTGAATAAGGGAAGAATATAAGGATAATGTTATTTACTTTATGGCTTTTGATCGGAAGCTGGCTATCGATGCAGCAGCTAGCAATATAGCTAGATTCATTAATCACTTATGCAATCCAAATTGCCGAATGGAAAAATGAATAGTGCATAGCCAGATAAGAATCGGCGTTTTCGCGAAGAATAACCAATTTCGACTGAAAAAGAGCTACCGATCAATTATAATTTCGATCCGGTCCTTAGTAACAGATGCGCTGAAGTGCTTATATAGACGCGCGAAATGCCGTGGCATATTGGGCTCGAAAGAATAAGGGCTGTGTTTTCTATATAACAGTGAAACAGGGAAGGGTCTCTTCTGATAAGGCTCGACAGGTAACAAAGAAAAGAAAGCAAGGGAAGAAGACAAGATAATAGACAGCCTGTCTGAAAACGAATATATCAGTATAGAGTCTCTTATTATTGCGAAAGCGCATGCTAGCATATACACTAGCTAGAACCATTTATATCTCGTGATAATTACAAAATACTAATTAGGAAGTATGCAGTGCTTCAATACACACTTAGGCTCCAGTCCTCCGCACTGGATTATAATAATACTATCACAAGCGATAAATTCATTCAAGCAATCTTAGATCAGATAATTAAAAAGCTTTACAGAAAATACTATCTTCGAGATCGAAAAATTTGCCGTCACTCAGTCTGTATGTCGTACTGAACATCATACTGCCTGCCTCAAACCCCTGCGCATCCCTGCTAAGATTTTTGAGCCACGGAAGCTAGTACTACGATTAGCTAATATTTATATGAATGCCAGAACCCTTTTGTCCCAACAAGCGAAACGCACTTACTTATCCATCCCGCGTGCTCCTTACCCCACGGCCCGCCGACCACAGCACCGAACAGTTTCAGCAGAACGACAAGATGACAAACACACTCACTGCAGAACAGAAGAAACTTGCAAGGCGTGCTGCGACGCCTAACCTTCCGGAACCTACACCTACCTGGGCGGACATTGGTGAAGACAAGAGGAAGGAGCTGTTTCAAGAGTTCCTAAAGCGCCTACGCAAAACCGACAACAATACAACTACCAACATTATCGCCGAAACCTCAGAACTAGGTTACATAATATTGCAAGAGAAGATCAAGTCTATGCAGCAGAGGGACCGAAGGCAGGAGAGTATGGTGCTATCTTAGCTCTGGTTCGATATGCCCCTTCATAGCTAATGAGCTGCAGGAAAATCTCAAGGCAATACGCAAAGTCAGCAGAACATCATACCCGGCAGCGGGAACACAGCTGCCCCTTCTGACAACGATTAGCAGTCTGGCCACTCATAAGGGAGCTATTCCATCCTGGCAGTTGATTAGAACAGGATATCTACTATAGTACTTAGTACTGCTTGGGAGCTTATATGATCAGCATATTGAATAGATCATAACAAGGGATTAAGATTAGCTGAATTCATACTGTATTGTACTGAGATTTAACAGCTAGTGACAACGATGATGCTGAAAATATTGATCACAAATGCTTCAAAAGACGCTAGTAATGCAGATAACGCTAATAACACAGATAACGCCATCAGATGATTACGAAAAATGCTTCAAAAGACGCTAGTGATGCAGATAACGCTAATGATACAGATAACGCCATCAGATAATTACGAAAAATGCCTCAAAAGACGCTAGTGATGCAGATGACGCTAATAACACAGATAACGCCATCAGATGATTACGAAAAATGCTTCAAAAGACGCTAGTGATGCAGATAACGCCAATGACACAGATAACGCCATCAGATAATTACGAAAAATTCAGCAAAAGACGCTAGTGATGCAGATAACGCCAATAACACAGATATTACAAATTCAAACAGAAGATATCTGCAGATAATGCTAATTGCTCTGAATTTACTTAGTTTAAAATTGTATAATTAGTATCTTATAATAAGAATATGAATAGCGAATAACACTAGTGATATAAATAATGCTGAAGATACTAATAGAAGACTGTAGTAATGCAGGTAATGCATGTTAGTTGCTCTAATAGGGAAATAAAAACATATAAATGCATATATGCTGTAAATACATGCTACTTTCTACTAGATAAGAGATGATCTATAAGATAGTAGAAAGCCTGAAATCTAGTTATAGTATAATCCCTGCTTATAACAGTATCTCACTATAGATTGGATATACAGTGTAAGTATGGGTAATGCCTTCTAATAAAGCATAAGCTTAAGTATACTTGATAGAAGCATGATTATAAAATTCATAATGAGAACATTTGAAATAACTGCAAGACTTATGACTTATCCATTTATCTTTTTTCAAAACAAAACAACCACTAAGCAGCTTTCTTCAGCCTCAATTAACAATGAATCAAACGTTTGACTCAGAAGTTACCTTCCATCCAGCATTATGAGAAGCTATGTTCTGTGAGATTGATCAACCAGCTTAGCTTTGCTAAAATCAAGTTAAGCATAGATTGGAAATCAATATGCAAGACTGTCTGCAGGGCAAACAACTCGAACACGCTATTAGAAAGAAAAGAAACTGCATTCAAAAAGCAAGCCCGAGTTTTGATACAGTCAAACAAGAGATCGAACAGCATTAGCCTACAATTTCTAGCAAGAAAAAGATCAGATTTCTTGATCATAAGCAGTTCCAAGACCTGTAGGATGCATTCGAAACTCTGATAACTGCATTCAAGACCTACATCTTGCTTTTACATCACGCTCAGCCACAGCAATACAGCTATCTCATGGAAAACCTCTTGAATGCTATATCCTTGCCCGAGAAGATGTACTAAGTATTCTGCATTCTCAGTTGAGACTCTTCATCATCAAGCACTGGAATCCTGAAAGCTTTTCTTCAGAGTTGTATGACAAATATCACGGAACTCAGCTAAGTTGCAATTGAATCTCAGCGAGATTGGAACGAGATGATAGCCTTTCTTGCTCTTTGGAGGTAAATATATTGTTTCTTTCAGCTTCATTACTTCATTCTTACTGATACAGTAGTCAGGTCTCAAGTTTCTCCACATCAGAGAGGAAATCCAGCCAATCCTCCATGTTTTAACTGAACACGGATCAGTTTCTTGAAGTTTACAAAGTTCGAGGATTATAATCCTATAAATAAGCAAATTCACCACCTCAAAGCTACACTCTGTCCAAAGACAACACATTTGAATATAATGATGCATTTCTTTTATCTATCGAAAGCAACATTTGCTATCAAGCCTTATCAGAGCCGCAAGAAGTATAATACTACTATTAAAGAAGCGATAATCCGGATCTACAATAGCTCTCGACAGCAGCCGCATTTTGCCCCATTGTATATAATCGCTGCGCTTGCTTGCCATTTCGCCCGGATTTCCGAGAGGAGATTATGAATCTTCAGACTTTTTTGAACATATTCCCAAGTTTCTATACATAGGTTAGCGAAGGAGATTAGCAAACAGCAATATAATTATTGCAGCTATAGAGCTTTAAATAAATACTCTTATCTATTTCTATTTCTATGAACTTTACTAATTCTATAATTCTATAGTAGCATGCCTTGCTAATAATGCTCTTCTTGATTTTCAAGATCATGAAAGGAAGATCCTATGGAAGATACAGCTTATAGAGTTTATTACAGCGATAGATATGATTCACTTTAGCTGTTCAGATATCTGAAACTTGCCATTTGTGAACGAGCAGTTGATTATAATCAATGCTTTAAACTCTTCTCTATCTGAATCTTTTTCAGCAGAACAGATCCTTTTTCTAGATCAGTCTGTGCAGTGAAATAAGCTTGTAGAGCTGCTGAACATTCTCAAGAATTTCTCAGTAAATATATTTTCTAAGATTAAATTTGTGATCTAAATATCTGACTTATGAATGCTAAAAAGACACTTTTTTATTTCCACCAATCCGCAACCAACTCAACACAGCGACTGGCTTTGGAAGATGCACCTTCTTGCTTATCTGCATTGGAACCAGAATTTCCTGGTAGCATTCCTCTTCCAGAAGATTGGCTGTTACAAGGGTTTTCCTGAACTCGGGACTTCTTTCCTAAGAACTGGTTCTCAGCCAATATTAAGCCGGAAGAACGCTATCAGGAGACAGAAGCTACAATACTATATTGCATCGAGCGAGTTCTCTGGTTAGCACAGCGAATTGCAGCTTCAGGGATCTGAATTACTTATTGCGAAAAAAGCAAAGAGTTTGTAATAGTTAACTGAAAAGTTATATATAATAATCTATTTGATAGTAATAAGCAGATAGTTATATATCCAGCTCTTTGATATCGTTGTAATCCTATCCTAAGCACTGCAGTAATCCGAAGATTCCGAAGCAGAGCCTTTTTAGCAATTAGCACTTCGGAGCTCTCCTGAAGATATCAGCAATAAATCTAGCAATATGCCTTACTCATAATATCGGGAAGGCTCTGGATAGTATTACTATACTCGCATATACTGCTACTTTAGCGCTCATTCTCTATTAAGCAGCTAGAATAGAGCAGCAAAAGCTAGAAAGCACTCCTTAGTTCTCGATATTAAAGAGTACCAATCTCACTCAGTTTTACCTGAATAAAAGATTAGAAGATATAATATAAGAAGATATAGCTAGTAATTTACGTATGCACTTGCTTTTGCATTTAATCCAAACTCTATATCTGCTAGGAAAAAAGCTCTAAACATTTCTATCGATATATTCTGAAAAATCCTCCTACCTAGTTCAGAGCCAGCCTTTAGTTTTATAATACAGTACTAGCTGATCATATTCCCATAGCCAATCCATAATAACTTGTTTGAAAGCTGAGTAGTATGCTGCGAGCAACAAGCTCTTAGAAATATATCGTTGCTCATAAGTTGACGAGTCATAGCTATTTATAGAAACAATAATCCGTATAATTGAACATTTCTTTACAAGCTAACTCATATCTTTCTCAAGCTCTTTCACAAGAGGACTATTATCAGGCAACTCAAATCCTGCATATTCGATTTCAATCTCATTAGAATCCTGTAATCCTACAAGATCATTAATATTAGCATGTACAACTAAATGAGAAAGAGTTACTTACTGAGATCGTACAAATCATCTCTTTCAGAAGCCATAAAAACCATTACTTCCTTTATTAGTTTGTTCTTTACTAGTTCTTGAAATCTTATTCTCTGGGATCTATATCTTGAGCCTGAGATAACTGCGAATTGTTTGGGTCCTGATATCTCAAGTGGTAGTAGCTCAATACCTAGATGTTTGTTGCCAATGAGAAAAAGAATCTTCCCTTGGACTGGCTGATCATCTCTATACCCGCTTGGAGCTTTCCCATACGGGTCCTTTTTGAAAGTAATGAATACTTCTTGGTTCAGCGCATAAGCAGGCGGTGGCGTTGGTTCTTTTTGGTGGCGTGCATGCATACTGGGGTCTTCTCTGCTTCTATTGTTTGCTATGGCTTTACCTTTTGCAGGTGCATTGAACCTCGAATGATCCATGGAGCTCTGTGAGCCCGCACCGGAAGGGTTTCCTTCATGTCCATGGCCATCTGCCCCCATTTCTTATCTAGCTAGTGTATCGTTGTTATTGCCATCATGGCCTTCTTCTTCTTCCTCCATTGCTTCAGCTTCGTGTCCATTGCTGTTTGCCCTCCTTCTTTGTTCAACTGGTGCCTGATTATTATTACTATCAGGGCTTTCTTCTTCCTCCCTTTTCTCTTCATCTTGTTCATTTTCATGATTATAGCTATCTGCCCCTCCTTCTTGTTCATGATTTTCGCTCTGAGCTAGAACAAGATTCTCAGTATTTGGTATCATTATTTTATTTAGTTGGAAGGAATTTATAAATGCTTATCAGAATGGATATATGACTCAAGATAAATATACCTTCTTTCCAAGTCTTCAGATTCTGAATTGTCTTCTTTTGCTTGGATTTAGTAGCCCAATCAAGCCTTTTGTTGCTGTACTCTTGCTCAGATTCAGGGGGTGTATTAAGATTACCAGTATAAATAGATTTACAGAGGTTTAAGTCATCTTTATCGAAAATATTTGAAATCTCTTTATTATAGTAAAAGATCTGGCCTGCTATCTTTGTAGCATTTGCTTTGTTCAGCATATTGTGTATTGTATATGCTGTGTATGCTATGTATGCTGTGTATGCTGTGTATGCTGTATAGGTAATCTTATGAGAATATATACGAATTGAGGATTCTTTAATATAGAAAGGATTCTTAAGTTAGACTTCTTAATTTAAAGAATTAGAGCAAACTTTCTTCTTTCATATTTCTACTCTTTTTATCTATACTTAATAACTTATATAGAATTTTACTTTTTGAAAACTTGGAAACATTGTATAAACAGTAGTATAGCTGTGAGCAAACAGGTGGCTGATATAGCTATGTATGAAAAGAGGACGGAGATAGTCCTTACCTTCCGTCATTATAATCTATCTCTAGACGAAAACTCAACCCATGCATTCTCAACTCTTTCTGAATAGATTCCCACAGCTTTCTGAGTCGCGCTTCCAGAGCTAGAGCAGTCCTGCCAGGTAGGAGGCCGCTATGATAGATATCCTCAAAAGTCCAGCCATTCTTCCTGAGTTGGAGGAGCTGCTGGTTCTCCTCTTCTGTCCACCAATTATAACATCCCCTTCTTCTTTCTATATATGAAGAGAAAGAAAACTGATGGATCTGATAGAAGAGGGAGTCGATCATCTTGATAAAGATGCAGTAGCCGCGACCTCCGGATAAGTCTAGAGCGATCTGAACATATCGCCATGGCTCGTATTTGGATTAGCAGAGGCCCGGGACAATGAGAATCGCATATACGGAATCCTCATCATCGAATATATGTTTCCATCTTCGCTGCATCTCATACCAGATGTGTATAAAGCTATCAGAGTTGGTAATGGATATGAAGAGCAATGAGTCATTATCCCGCCGCTGCTTTATCTCATCTAGTTGCATGTACTCTAGAGATGCGTATATTCCTTCCAGCGGTCTGCTAGCGCTATCAATAATGCTGATGAGGAAAGGAGCTATGTTTCATATACTTAGGGTTTCATTTGATTTCTAAGCCGATAGTACTAGGAATTTAGAGGAAAGACGAGAGAACTTGTGCTGTTAAATAAAGGAAGAATTAAATCTATATTTATAATAGTTTAATTATATCTCAAATATAGAATTGTATAACTTAAAATAAATCTTAGCTTATCATCCTTCCCTTATCTATAGTACTTAGCTCTTCTTTTTAGTATCAATAAGCTATTCTTTCTTATACGAAAAATATCTTATAAATCTAGTTTTATTCAGACTCTGATAAAGTATAATTTGATTTAAGCAAGCGAAGTCTGTTTTGAAATCTCATATTCTTCTTCATTTCCGCTCCTATGCACTGCTTAAATCTCCTAATCATCCGAATGCAACTAGAAATCAGTTTGCTTTCCCTCTATTCAATGATAGAACAGCTGCAGAGCTCCGGCAAGAGATTTCGTGAATGCGGCCATTCCTCTGCAAAGGCATTGAACCAAGTCCAGAACGCGGGTCATCTGCATGCTGGCCTGCTCTGCCTATGCTTGTAGCTAGTTCGCACTGCCCTCCAGTTATAATAGCACTTCCTCAATTCGAATCAGACGCGCATTCATATTATACAAGACGTTCTCACTCTGGCTACCATAGGGAGCTGCAGCCTCGCCGACTCACGTGTCGATGACGGGTTGTTCAGAAAGTGGAAATAACTGGAAGGTTTTGTCTACTCCTGCAAAGTGCAGATTATAATCCGCAAAAAAAGTTATCTGGATTTGTTATATCTATAGATGCGAAATCTTCTTGGGTGAATACATTCATCATGATGAAAGTTTATAAGGGCTTAGAGCTTTGGGAAACCTTTCCGTCGTTATAGCGTCTTGAGGAAGCAGTAGAAAATTATTGCATCTTATCATCATCTGGATTCCAGCAAATCAATCTTCTTTTCTTTAATTAAGAATTCGGTATTCTTTTTTTGATGCATTGCAAAAGGGCCGCCTGCGGCTATATCCTGTAACCAATCTTCAGGCGCGCTCAGCCCGGGCCCGCAGTACCAGCCTCCTCTGATCTAAAGATATTTCATCATCTTCGGAGCTATCGGTGCTAATTTTAGCTATCGGGCCCGCCCCTTCTGAATTCTTCGGCGGTTCCTAATAACTTCCAATCCTGCCCGAGTTGGGCTAGAATGAAAATGCCATGCCTTGAATACTGTCAATTTTTTAGCTATATAATTCTGCCCGACTAACATATTAGATCGTAAGCTAAGATGATTAACAAACACAGTTTTCCTCAGCTTCACTTTTTTCAAAGATTCTTCTTTTTGCTATGGCGCCATTCTTCTGCCGCATACTTGACGCGCAGGCTCAGCCGATAGGGAGTATTTGCGTAACAGCATTCCCACTCCAGAGCCCGCCTCTAGTAGCTATTACAGGCTCCAACAGCTTCGCCAGCACTTGGACAACGCTCGATGAATAAAGATCTGAGCAATATCTCAGACAGCCACAGTTCATCAACGCTGATATCTTCCCGATATTCACCCTAGGTATAACCAGGCCAGCAATGCAGCCTCCCTTCGGAATACCAGCAACATAGCAACGCATCTATGTTGATATGCGGCTGGACAACTCCGCCCAACTTTGCATAGTTCTGCATCTACAACACTCAGATAAATATACAGTTCAATTTCATGTGATTCCCCAGACATTTCTGGCGGACAACTATTGTTCAGAACAAACTCAGCACCCAGAATTGTCTGCGCCAATATCCCCTTCTTTCCTTGCTGGAGATAGGGACTCCTATCATCAAATCCCCGACAGCGCGGTTGGCAACGAATTAGAGCCTTCTAGCTATCCAGGCGTTATGATTCAAGAATGATAGAATGGAAGACGGATCTTTGCAGGGCAGTGAACTGTGAGAGAGAGATTCAGGTGCGAGCTGTCGCAATCTTGGGGTCGAGTGTGGAGGAAAGTATCGACAGACTCGTGTAGGAACGGTAAACAGAATAGAAAGGAAAGATCAGCTTGGCTCTAGCGTATGTTGGTTCTACCATATAAAGTTCTAACTCGATCAGCCTCCACTTTCTCTGCAATCTAGTCAATCATGCAGTGTGTCATTATACATGTATTATAATGATCGAGAACCAAGAGTGTTTTGCTTTCGAAGTGCTTAAAGGATCTTCTCTTCAGTAGGACACTTTGATATTTCCCAAACAATTCGTTCATATAGCAAGTAAACGAGCATGCGCTTTGCGTCCACCAGCGCGCCACAGGTGGATCTGCAGTTTATCTTGAAATGAAGTCGTATTTTCTATGCTTAAAGCAGACAACCAACAGGAAGCGCTAGAGAGTTCAACTAATCTCGTTTTTCTCTTTAGCAAGAGAAAATCACTCAAGTGATCCAATTACTCGTATCATTAACCAATCAGAAGTGTTACCAACAGAACAGTTCGCTTATGGATCAGACTCGCATAGCTTCGTATTAGCTGTATAACTCTATTAGCCGAGAGATCCTATACAAATGAGACTAGCTAGTATTTTCCAAATGTCGCTTAATACTGCTTCGCAATGTTATAGTAGCACATAATACCGTGAAGCCTCCGCAAGCAAGCTTACTCCGGTTGCGGGCGCCATTTGTTCCTATAATAGACTGTGAATAGCTCCATTTATTCCTCTTTTTCTTTCCTCACCTTCGCTCCCGCTTTTGTGCTGCTATTTCCTCGCTTCGCTTCGCTCAGCTCCCTCCCCAACCCATCCGCCAGGAAATAGCTGCTTTCCTCAGAAACACGAAGACGCACATGGACCACCCAGTTGATTAGGATGCGTATAAAAATCAGAGAAATACTCAGAAGCTTCCGGGAGTCAATAGAAGAAAGAAAAACCTCCTGCAGAGAGCTGATCTGGAAAGAGTAGCATATGCATCAGATATGGTGCAGGTGACAAATGGGCTAAAGGTAATAGCTAGATAACAAGATGCCTCAACGAAATGGATGTATCTTGTGAACACGGAAAGAGCGCGAGAAAACATGCTTTTTTTTAAGAGCTTAAAGAGTTGATATTCTAATCATTAATATAGAAGTTAAGTTTGTAGATTATTGCAGAAGCCAAAAGCACTTGCCTTTTGCTATGTTAGCTATATAAAGTAATTGATTGTTGAAGATAGTTGATTGTTGTAAACATCCAACTGTGTTTACTGCTAATGTACTTTCATAACCTTCTAGATCTATATCTCAAGATCTCCTTTTGAGCTTAGCTAATCTTCTTGCTTTCTGTGAAGATTATTAAGTTTATTCATATTATATTCCAGCTGCTGCTTTCAAAAAGCAACGAGATTCCAGCTGCAGCTTCAATATTATGAATAACAATCATCCTATCTTGCATAATAGCAGCAAAGCTGGCGAGAATTCTACAGAAATAATCAGAAATTGCAGTGCTAACTATGCAGCTGCCCCGAAGCAGCATTGCACTTGCAAACAGGCTAAGCCCATCTCCCAGCACTACTCAGCCTTTCCCTTTCCAAGACTCTTTCAAACAAAGTATTCTCTTGTTAATATATGCGAAGAATACTCCTTCGCAGTACAAGCTGCTAGTAGATCAAACTGCTTGTATAATATAATATAGCTAACAAGATATCCTTGTAGCTCCTGCAAGCTAGATAATTACAGTCTTCCTTTATCTCTTCAATCCTAGGCAGTAAAGCGTTTCCAGCTCCAACAGAAAGCAACTTTGATACCACTGCTAGTTCTAATAACA